TTGCTTACTTCTTGCCGAGAAGAATAATGAGTTACTAATGAGGAATAGTGCTCAAAGACCCCCGGGATCAGCCCCGATACCAGAGGCCCATCAAGTTGAAGGAGCCATGAAAGACACAAAGGAATCCAACTATGCCCAACGTGACAGAAACTCCGGCCATGGTCGTGTAAATGGACGTGGTCGACATGGCAATGGCCGTGGAAATTTCCACGGTAATTCAGGCCGAGGCAACCGACCTAACCTCAGTTATGGTCGTGGTAGAGGTCGCGGAATCTCCAAACCATCTCACTCAACCCGCTCGACCAAGCAATCACCTTGCCTCCGGTGTGGAATGACAAATCATTGGGCTAAGACGTGTCGCACTCCTAAGTACCTTTGTGATCTCTATCAAAAACATGGGAAAGTGAATCCCGAAGCTAATATGGTTCACCAAGATGATGAATCTAATATGGTTCACCACGATGATGAAGGTGACTTCAACCATGAAAATGACGATCTCATGGATCTCGAGACCTCGGACCTCCTGAAAGGAGATAATTAAATTCGACATCTGGATACTTGCTTTATTTTGATGGATTTTGGCTTTTGTTTTTGATTTATTTTAAGACTTGAAGATTTCAATTGGTTTTGTTTCATTTATTTTTGATGAACTCGTTATGTTTCATTTATTATCAATGCAATGGTTTTTGCTTTATATACTTATCTAAATCACATCTCTTGTCAATTGAAGTTATGAACGAGAACAAGAATATCATTGTGGTGGATAGTGGATCCAGCCACACCATATTGAAAGACAAGAGTTACTTCATAAATCTCACATTAAAAACCGCAAACATCAGCACAATAGCGGGTACATCGAGCCTAATAGAAGGCCATGGCCAAGCCCATGTGTTGTTATCTCAGGGCACACATCTAGAGATACTAGATGCTCTATACTCACCCAGTTCTAAGAGAAATCTATTGAGTTTCAAAGATATAAGGCAAAATGGTTTCCACATTGAAACTCAGGGTGAGGGGAACAAAGAATCCTTACTGATTACTAAAATTACACACGGCCATAAACAAGTAATTGAGACTATACCCGCATTATCCACTGGCCTTTACTATGCTAAGGTCAGTATGATTGAGGCTAATGTTGCTATTGAAGCACGGTTTAAAGATTACACTATTTGGCACGACCGGCTTGGTCATCCCGGTTCGAATATGATGCGTAAATTAATTCAAAGTTCTAAAGGGCACACCCTTAAAGAAAACCGAGTCTTCCCTAAGCACCACACGTGCATAGCCTGTTCACAAGGGAAGCTTATCACTCGACCTTCACCAGTCAAAGTGTCTAAAGAGACCTTGCATTTTCTGGAACGAATTCAAGGAGACATATGTGGTCCGATCCATCCACCTTGTGGACCATTTCGGTACTTCATGGTTTTAATCGATGCATCGACCCGCTGGTCGCATGTTTGCCTATTGTCTTCTAGGAACCAAGCGTTTGCTAGGTTATTGGCCCAAATCATCAGATTGCGAGCCCATTTTCCAGATTTTCCTCTTAAGACCATACGTTTAGATAATGCTGGTGAATTCACTTCCCAAGCGTTTAATGACTATTGTATGGCCATGGGGGTAAGTGTGGAACATCCTGTACCACATGTCCATACACAGAACGGATTAGCTGAATCCCTCATTAAACGAATTCAACTAATTGCTCGACCATTACTCATGAGGTCGCAGCTTCCGGTCTCAGCTTGGGGACATGCAGTTTTACACGCTGCTGAACTAATACGCATTCGGCCATCTAGTGAGCATAGATATTCCCCATCCCAATTGCTAACGGGTCATGAGCCAGACGTTTCCCATCTTAAGACATTTGGGTGTTCAGTCTATGTACCCATTGCACCACCACAGAGAACTAAGATGGGACCTCAAAGGAGGATGGGAATATATGTTGGATTTGATTCTCCCACCATTATCAAATATCTTGAGCCGACCACAGGAGACCTCTTCAAGGCCAGATTTGCGGATTGCCAATTTGATGAATCGGTATATCCTATATTAGGTGGAGAGACCAACAAGCTGGTTAAAGAAATTTCATGGAATCAAACATCCTTACAATGGCAAGATCCTCGGACTCTAGAATGTGAATCAGAGGTCCATAAGATTATACATTTACAAAAGCTAGCTAATCAATTGCCAGATTCCTTTGCTGACCCGAATAGAGTAACCAAATCGTACATACCAGCTTGTAATGCACCAGTACGAATAGATGTCCAAAAGGGACAGACTCAAGTTGCTACAGAATCTGCAGCACGTAACAAACGTGGCAGACCATTAGGTTCCAAAGATAAGAATCCCCGGAAACCAAAGAAAGGTGCAACGGTTGAAACCGGGATTCCTCAAATAGCAGACATAGCCGCGGCTGAGATTAACCCTAGTGAACCGGTCCAAGAGGTTCGGGACGCCAAATCTCAAGGTTCCGAAGGGATTAATAACAATGAGATCTCAATCAATTATATCATGTCTGGAATACAATGGAACCGAAAAGATGTCGACATCGATGAAATATTTGCATATAAGGTAGCACTTGAAATGAATGAGGATAATGAACCCACGTCTATATTAGAGTGCACTCAAAGATCAGATTGGCTAAAATGGAAAGAAGCCATAAACGTGGAGTTGAATTCATTAAAGAAAAGGAATGTGTTTGGTCCGATCTTAAGGACACCATTCAATATTAAACCAGTGGGCCACAAATGGGTCTTTGTGCGTAAGAGAAATGCACTCGGTGAAGTGGTTAGATACAAAGCACGGCTTGTAGCACAAGGATTCTCACAAAGACCTGGAATCGATTATGAAGAGACTTATTCTCCTGTGGTGGATGCAACAACATTTCGATTCCTGATAAGTCTGGCCATAAAAGAAAATTTAGATATGCGGTTAATGGATGTTGTAACCGCCTATCTTTATGGACCACTGGATAATGAGATTTATATGAGATTACCAGATGGTATTGAACTTAAGGACAAGAGAGAATCTCGAGATCAGCACTGCATTAGGCTGAACAAATCCTTATATGGACTGAAACAAAGCGGACGTATGTGGTATAACCGGTTAAGCGAATATCTCATCAGAGAAGGCTATAAAAACGATCCGATCAGTCCATGTATTTTTATCAAGAAGTTTGCAAACAAAGGATTTGTGATCATAGCAGTATACGTGGATGATTTAAACATCCTCGGAACATCTGGTGAAATCGCCCAAACAGTAGAATGCTTAAAAGCCGAATTTGAAATGAAAGACCTAGGCAAGACTAAATTCTGTTTGGGGCTACAACTTGAGTACGTGAATGATGGAATCCTTGTGCACCAATCGGCATACATTGAAAAAGTACTCAAGAGATTCAATATGGACCAGGCCCACCCATTGACCAGCCCAATGGTTGTGAGAAGCCTCGGATTGGACAGTGATCCATTCGGTCCAAAGAAGGACGATGAAGAAGTTCTCGGTCCTGAAATGCCATACCTCAGTGCCATAGGAGCATTAATGTACTTGGCTAGTCACACTAGACCAGACATATGTTTTGCCGTGAGTCTCCTAGCTCGTTTTAGTTCATGTCCAACTAAAAGGCACTGGAACGGTGTCAAACACGTTCTAAGATACTTACAAGGAACTAAGGACTTAGGATTGTTTTACACTAACCACAACAAGGATGGGTTAGTTGGTTTTGCTGATGCAGGATATCTATCGGATCCGCACTGTGGTAGGTCACAGACTGGTTATGTTTTCACGCATGGAGGGACAGCTATCTCGTGGAGGTCTATGAAGCAGACAATCGCTGCAACCTCATCTAACCATGCGGAAATTTTAGCCATTCACGAAGCCAGTAGAGAATGTGTTTGGTTGCGGTCCATGACTCAGCACATCCGATCAGATTGTGGTATGAAAGAAGATAAGGAGCCCACGGTTATGTTTGAAGACAACGCGGCTTGCATTGCCCAACTAAAGGATGGCTATATCAAAGGGGATCGAACGAAGCATATTCTGCCCAAGTTCTTCTTCACTCATGATTTACAGAAGGACGGTCAGGTCAAAGTTCAACAGATCCGGTCAAGTGAGAATTCAGCCGACCTATTCACTAAATCATTGCCGACTTCAACGTTCCGGAAGCTCATTCATCAGATCGGGATGCGCAGACTTAAGGATTTACAGTGATGCTCAAATCAGGGGGAGTAATGCGTGTTGTACTCTTTTTCCTTCACCATGGTTTTGTCCCACTGGGTTTTCCTGGTAAGGTTTTAATGAGGCAACATTCCCCAGCGCATTATAGAGATCCCGGTTTAGTATCGGGCACGGTTATGTCTTCCAAGGGGGAGTGTTATAAACCATATGGATGGACTCCATAACCGGCCCATGGCCCATTAGGGTTTTACCTTATTCTCTGTATCCTACTATTATCCTTGTATATATATCGGTTGTTCTATTAATGAGATTAACAGTTCACAACAGTTTCATAATAGTTGTCGTTTTAGGTTTTCAATGCAAATGTTTGGTAAAAATTCCAGTTTTATCCCTATTGTTTTAATGTTTTGACCAATGAAAAAATTATAAAATATATTAATAAAGGGTAAAACATAAAATTTAATGGTTTTCTTAATTTGTGTGAAAAAACCTTAAACGACAACTAAAACGAAACGGAGGGAGTATTATCTTAGACTCAATAGTCCACTAATCTTCAGATACTTACTGACAACTGTACTTACTTAACATGATTAGTAGTAAATCGATCTCACTTGATTTATTAGTAAAGAACTAAGCAAGAAGTCAAAATGAGCGTAACCAAACCGGTCGGTTTTCATTTTCAGTTGAATTATCGGTTATTCACATTTCAATTCCGTCCAAGGTGATCTTTGAAAATGTGTCAACAAATTTAAATCAAAGACCTTAATTGTCTTAGGATCCGACTTGGGGTTTTCAGGTTCGAACCAATAAAAAAGAAGCAAAAACCATTAACAGAATCTAAAGCTTTATTAGATTCTTAATCCTTACTTCTCATCAATAAAACCAAGTCAAAAACACCAGAACTACTAGTATGCACGAAACCAAAAACGATTAAAGCCTGATTTAGTCTAATCAAAGTCAATTATAACACCTAGAAGAAGAAGTTTGTAGCTAATAAGCGATCAAGAAAGTCGACAAGAAAGTCGACAATATACCTCTCTGTGTCCAGATGCGGCAACATTTTCAAATTTCATGTTGTTTTTAACTTTTTGGGTGGAGAACCAGTTGTAGAAATGGCTTGATCCAACAACTCTCTAGCCCGAGGTGAAGGTTTCTTCATGAGGTCTCCATTCACAAATTCTGCTTCCATGGAATCTGCAATGTTGCTTATTGATGATAATGGCTGCTTCCAAGGTTCTTGGCTCTTTGCGATTTCTTCGATTTGCGAGAGCTGAATTTGATAAGTTCCTTCTGCAGAATCATCACACACACATAAACCAAGTAAGCACTAAACTCCATCAGTTAACATTGATACAAATAAAACATAAAACTCGGTTCAAAAGTTTCAACAATCTTTTCCTGTAATCAGAGAATTGAAATTTACCTTGCTGTTTTGGAGACGACGACAACTCTTGATTTTGATCCAGGAGCAGAGGAAAAAAATCATCAACAGTGGTTGCTCTTTCAATGGCTAAACAAGAATCTGGTTCATTCTCAGTGCATGGACTGTAAGAATCAACAGTCTCAAGCGGGTCCAAAAGCTCTCCCATAGTAGAATCCTCACCACTAGAAGACTCTGCTGATAGAAACACATCTTCGGTTAGCTCATTAGAGAGGGAAACAAAATCTTCTTTTGTCTTGACATGTTCGTTAGACACTCCAGCAGAATCGCAGGGTTTGCTTGATTTATCGCCATTCTCATAACTGATCTCTGATAAACACTCCCCGTTAGTAGAAGAATCAAGCACAGACTTTGGGGAAGAATTTAGTAAACTCGCTTCAAGCAATGGCTGCAACTCTTCATAGGCACTAGAAAACCAGGGAGTTCCTTCCCGTGCATAAAAAAGAATATATGAATCCTGTGATAGCACCCTATCTTCATCGATTCTAGTGACCTGCCAAGGTTTGTCATAAGCACAACACGGAAAAGTTTATTTATGTAAATCATCTATTAAAGCACCCGGATCAAATAGAATTACTAAAAAAGATCACCTTCGAGTCATCAAAGTGATGCCATATCTTAGGAGCGGATCTCACATAGGAGGAGTAATGTCCATAAGCTACTGAATACCCAAAATGTTCCACAAGTGCATAAAGATGGTATTTTGTAGAAACCTGAAAAAGAAAGATATAAAGTGGGTTTCAAAGTGTGCAATCTGTAGATAAATACAACATTTTGAGAACATAAAAGGGAGATAAGAGATAGCTTAAGTTTCACATACTTCGTTTTCCTGGCTATTCCTCATATATGGCTGCAAGTCTATCTCTAATGGGAACTTGACATGCTTAAAGATCTTCTCCATAAAAAATCCATTAGTCTTGAATCTCTTCAGATGGAAAGTAGCAACCAAAGGGAGCTTATCAAGCAACATTTGCTTCTCCTTTGAAACTTTTTCATTACAAGTATCACATGTCAATTGCTCATCAAGTTTCTCCACACGGGTAAAGGATTCAAGTGCACTCCCAAGGGTATCCACATCTTCAATTTCCAAACTCAACCCAACAGACTTTTCAAATGTCTCGGAGACAGAGTTGCACTTGCAGCAACGGAGCTGAAAGCAGAAATACGTACATGTTTACCGAAATACCTTTGACACTTAACCAAGTACAATATTTTGAGTAAACTGCTTACTCCACTGATGAGACGACCGGCAAAGACATCTTGAGAAGAGATATTGCCATGAAAACTTCTTCTATCCGAACCACACCTCTCCAACTTCTCCAAAAATGCTTGCAGAAACTCATGAGCGTCTTCTTGTTGATAACGCTGGAAGTCAGGCGAAAAATCTGTGATAGCTAAGGATAAATCAATGCATCTCATAAAAAAAATCAGAGAATCCCAAAAAGCAAACATATTCAGAAAATTAATGAAAAAAGAATTCGATGAAGGATACAATTAAGATTGTTAAGAAAATAATAAGGAGCAATTGGACATCTCTCAGGCCTCAATGCAGCCTCAATGTGATATCGAAGAGCCCTTATAACACAGAAGAACTCATTGCCACCTACAAAAGCCAAAAGATGTATATATTATAAGATCATTACAACATAACAAAAGAACAAAAAGCTACACTACATTAAGAATCTTACAGTGACAGGGAACTTCATATTTGTAAGAACGAAGGCTCTCGATAAGTGGCACAGTATGAGTGAAGCATTGAAACACCGAATTAAGGAAACAAGTGTTGCCTAGATTCCAAAGTCCAGCACCCTACAAACAAAATATCAAATTCGTAATCAGAGATCAAAATTGAAAACAATGCAACCAAAATCAAAAACGAAATCAGAACATACAACACCAGTCACGGGCTCAAGTTCTTGCGGGAATCCAAACAAGGATTTGCGAGGAGATTCGGTTTTAGAGTTGTCATCATCATCATCGCTTCCAAAACCAGGCGAAACATTGGGAGTCCAAGGTCTGTGAGCCTCTCGGAGATCATCAGACGGACACGCATCCCAGAGATCATCGTCGATATCGTCTAGTGCTTGAGAAGTAGTCTCAATTCGAGTCTGAGACTCTGGAAAATTGCTGAACTCATCGTGATCCAAATTGATCGGAGAATGAACGGATTGGGTTTCGTCAGACGAAGAAGAGGTGTAACCATCATAGATCGGAGGCGGAATTGAGAGCGAATCATGATTATTATTATCATCGCCGCGATCTCGATTTGGAGACGAAAGAGCCAATGACTGTACATTAACAACATGTGCTTCAATCGACTCGTTCTCATCTAGGGTTTTGATCGAGTTGGGAATTATCGACGAAGATACGTCGGAATTCGCCATTAACATCGTCGTCAAGTTCGATTTCTGACTGAAAAATTAGGGTTTCGTCGATAGGAGATGAAAAGTCGAAATTTCAGTGCGAGAAATCAAAATTCCGGTGAAGAAGGGGGATTCGAAGAAAGATCGGCGGCGAATTAGAGAGGAAAGTGAGAAGAATGAGACTAGGAGATGATTTGAATTGCGAGGGAAAATCGAATCGCCATTGTTTAGGGTTTTTAATTCTTCCGGGAATTGAATTTTGGGTGTAAAACTGTAAAGTGTGTTTATGTAATCTTTATCTGATAATGATACAGATATTCTTCCAGATACGGTAAATTTGTTTTCCTTAGGTCGGTGGTCAACATTGGATTTTGACTCTTTTTTAGTCATATTTTAAATATAAATTAAGCATTAATTGGTAATTTGTAAAATTAATAGCAATTTAAATTTTAATACTATATTTTTTAGTTTACTGTAATTCAACCTTTTTTGGCATATATTTTGGAAAAAAATCTGACTTAAATTGGAAAAAACTTACAAAGTAAGTATTTTTTATTTGGAAAAAAGATGGCTGGCTACACGAAGTATCCGTGAAGACATGGCCACACATGCAAAGTTTAATAATGGATCCTAAACTACATGAACTATATGTATCGCATGCCCACATATACGAACTATATGTAGTCATGTCGCCAACATCACGAACATTTTTTTCCGGTACACTTTTCGCCGGAATCCGGCATTGACCAGTTTGACCGGCGTTGACCAATATAAATATTAAAAAAAAAAAGTTTTTTAATATTTAGAAAATTATGTTATTGAATCATTTATAATATTGTATAATTAAAAAAATATATACAATATTCAATATAAAAATATTTTGTATTGATTTTTATAATTAGTTAGTTTCAATAATTTCAAAACTAAACTAAAAATAAAACAAAAACCAATTAGGTAAAATAATTGTAAATATGAAATTTTCTATACTCTCTAGTCTAAAGTTTTTTTATAATATGTTGTTAATTTTTTTTGTATTATTAAAAGAATTTTTCGTAATAATTTTAGATACAAAAATTAACAACATATTATACAAAAAACTTTAGACTAGAGAGTATAGAAAATTTCATATTTACAATTATTTTACCTAATTGGTTTTTATTTTATTTTTAGTTTAGTTTTGAAATTATCAAAACTAACTAATTATAAAAATCAATGCATTGGATATATATACAAAATATTTTTATATTGAATATTGTATATATTTTTTTAATTATATAATATTATAAATGATTCAATAACATAATTTTCTAAATATTAAAAAACTAAATTTTTTTTTTTTTTGAATATTTATGTTGGTCAACGCCGGTCAAACTGGTCAACACCGGATTCCGGCGAAAAATGTATCGGAAAAAAATATTTGTGATGTTGGCAACATGACTATATATAGTTCGTATATGTGGGCATGCGTTACATATAGTTTGTGTAGTTAGAGATACATTTTTAAACTTTGCATGTGTGGCCATGTTTTCGCGGATACTTTGTGTAGCCAGCCATCTTTTTTCCTTTTTATTTTACTTATTAAAAGTGCAAAATCTTGAACATATTAGTTAAAAAAATCTTGCAGAACCAAGCATTCTGTTATTTTGGAGATTAACATTCAAACGACATTGTATCATCACAATTAAATTCGTTTAAAAATCCACTTTTTCTGCAAACAAACAAAGATTTTGATAAAGTCTATAACATATCCAATATAATAGTGTATCAATATATATTTTGATGATAACAACAATAGCCACGTCTCAATAATCCCAAAAAGCTCTATAAAAACAGAGAAACATGAACCTCATTGGAAGTTTCCGACAAAGCTTCTTTCTTACTTTTTTTTCTCTGTCAAATCAAAAACTCAAAAAACATGTGAGACCTCGTGGTCTTCTTCTTACAGCATTCTGTCTTGAATATCACTGAAGATACCAGAAGCCAAAGTTCCAAGCTTCTTCTTTGTTTCCCCTGCTATGTTCACCAGCGATGAGATATCTTGTTGCGCCTGAATCAAACATTTGAAATCGAACATTCATCAATATGTTAAAAAATATGAACAAGAACATTTGAGATTCAGGAGTATGGATCTTGTACCTGGAAAGAAAGTCGGTTAATGAGATCGCTAGCTGTTATATCGATATTGGAATCATCTTGGTCGTGACCGTAGAAGTCAGCACTTGAGATAGATGCTGAGCCCTGTAGTTTCCCTCAATGGCATTAGAATCGAAAGATGAGAAATGTTCCTTTGAAATTTTGGGGAATGTTGTTACTTACTGCAAACTTTTGGAGAGTAGCTTTTGATTCCATATCAGCGTTTTTGTTCTGATCCCCAAAGTACTGAGCTGAAGATATGGACTTTGCGTTTGTGAACTTCTTTCTTGCTTCATCTGATTCTTCAACCTAGTTAGAAAAAGAAATGGTTTAGCAGAGAGTTGGAATTTCGATTTTACTAATTTTCTTACTGAGAAACCATGGATTTACTTGAGATTTTGACGAGTTGGAGCTTGATTTCTTGGGGAAAGAACTGTCCATTCCAAAATCCGAAAAGAAGCTTGACGACTTTGGTGGAGCAACATGGTTAAGCACTTGTGTACCACCAACGTTTTGTCCTCCAGATTGCAAGTCGTCATTGTACTCAAACCGAGAGGCAAATGATGAACCAGCTGATGATTTGCTTTCCCCGTTATTTGTTGACGATGCAGCGGGAATAACCGGTGCAACTTCTTCCGGTTTTTGCTCATAGAGATTGTCCTTTGGCTACATTTTACCAAAAACAAAAATCCAATCTTTTTATCTGAACTAGAGAACAGAAACGTAAATGCTCCAAAAAAACAGCCTAAGACTTACCTTAGTAGTAAGCTTCCTTGCACCAAGACCACCAGTTTTGCCTGTCCTTTTAGCACCGATAGGTTTCTTAAACGTACTAGGCACAACTGTATTCGAAGCTTTAGGCGAAGAAGTGGCACTGGCACCTTCATTTTTAAGAGGAGGTAACTCTTCCTTGACAGAATAAGAAGAACCCCCATTAGATACTTCCGGTAACTGAGAAGTAGCAACGGGAGATGACAGTAAACCAGAATTATTTTCTTCTGCAATCGCTTTTGCAACTTCCTTAGCAAGAATCTGCCTATACAAATCAGCAGCTCTTGAAGTATACTTCGCCTCAATTTTGCCACCATCAGTCCATCCATGTTGCTTGAAGAAAACCTGAGCGCGGTTGTTGCCACCAAACATCATCGTCCTAAGCTGCTCAGGGCTCCACGAGTCTAAATTCGTTGATCTACACCAAAAACAAAAAAATGCAGCATCTTCAGAACGTAATGTGGCATTATTGAATCCAATAACACAAAGAACGAATTTGAAAAATCGCAACTAGTCAATGGATCGATAATTAGAATCAGTCTAATTTCAATAAACTAGTGGAATTAAAGTCAACAATTCTTAAACCAAGCTGATCTTAAAACACTAAAGTCAACGTAATGCAACACATTTAGAACTAATAACCTATCAAGGCCTCGAAAGCTTAAACCTTTAGCCAAAATCTAAGCTAGAGTAATGCCGAAATTGGATCAGATGATGAATTGATTACCTGACGAAGCTGATATGAACACCGAGATTCCGATGAGTAGCTGAACAATCGATGCAGAGGAAAATTCCATAAGTAACCGAAGCCCAAGTTGGATTCTTCGCACTACAATCGAAGCAGACCTAAATTGGCAAAATCAAAACCAAAATTGGCATAAACGAATCGAAGATCTAGTTGAACAACTCTCAGATCTAAGATACACAATATCAAAATTGACGATACTCAAAAGAACAAATTGTATAAGAGAGGGAAGAATTCAGAAAAAAAATTGATACCTTGTTCTCAGATTTTGATTTGAGTTTTCTGAAAACAATGTTTTTGTCGGTAAGATTGTTGTCAGCAGAAGAAGCCATTGTTGATCAAATTTAAGGATTTATTAACAAAATTTCACGAGAAAACAAAATCTGAAGATGAGAACGAACAATGGATCACAAATTTGAAAGAAATGAAGATTTTTTATTTGAAATCTTTCTTCTTCAAAATCTGTAAATCTGGAAGAAAAAAAACAGTACTAACATTGATGGCAACATTTGATCTGACTAGACTGACGAAAGTACCCTTATATACTCTAAGAATTACGAAAGTGGCATATTTAAGAAACGACACGTAGTGTGTAAATTCCGTTTCTGAAGCAACATGGATGATAAACAGACGATAGCTTATCATTTTCACCTTTTCTTAAACCTCAACTCAAAGATTACTTACTAATTTGTGTAATCTTGTGTTATACATTTTTCTTATTAATATTATTTTTATCATATAGTTTACTAGTACAGTATGTATAGGATTTTTTTAATTACAATACCTGAACTTTACATTAATTAGTAAATTGAAAATTCTAAAATGAAATGAAAATACGACTTTTGCCTTCTTTCCATAAGCATATGTCTCATATTGTATGCTCAATGTTTTGCTATTCGCCCACACGGCTGTGGTTTAGTGGTAAGAGAGAATTAGGAAAAAGTTGGAAGGAACTAACCCAGGTTCGATCCACTCTGCAAATAAAAATTACATTTGTGTGGGAAGTTTGGGCTTGGACTTTGGCCCAAGAAATTCACATGGTATCCGGGATTAGGCTAACTGGATACTTCGGACATTAGTCAGAAAGCATTCCAAATTCGGGGTTAGGCAGTGTGGTAGTCCAACACTTAGGTATTGGCGACGAGTCCATATGGTAGCAGTTCAGTGCGTTCTCCCCGGGCTGACCAAATCGGCCAGGTATATAAGAAAAAAAAATGTCTCGCTATTCTTGTTGTTTCACATTGAGCATACCATAAACTTTTCAAATTATAAATCTTTGGGGACTAGTTTTATTAATGAGCCAAAATGTGTGAGGCCCAATATAAGTAATAAAGCCCAGGCTAATTTGTTTTGTATGCTTTTATGCGATTCCAAAATGTCACTGTACAGTGACACTATAGTTTCGTCGGATATGAATATAGAGCGACCAACATTTTTGGGCATTTGCTCTGACTGAAAAAGAAAGCATATTATGAAATCTGACCAATAAAAAAACAAGAGACCCACCCGACATAATGTGATATTTTTGTGAGGTCGTCTAATTTTCATAATTAATTCTAATTTTGTTTTAATACTAGACCTTTATTTGCCTTTATGCTCTTACGTCTCTTTCGCCTTTGTTATCGAAATCACCCATGTCTTTTTTTTGTTCTATATCATGCAAAAAGTTGTGTCCAATAACGAAGCCAACAAAAATATGTTTTTAAGAAAATGTTTAACTACAATATCTGCTTTATAGGTTTTGTGTATAAAAGTTGTATCCAAATCTTTGGTGTTAACACTACCTTAATCCCTTTAATCATAATTTTTATGCCTCCAATAATAACCAACTCACATATTGTATATTAATTTTTTTCGTTCGTTTTTATTATATTGTGATAGTGTGAATCGACCCTATTGTTTAAATATTCCAAAGAAATTAATTGATACTTGCTTGTAAGAATTACATGTTGGATTAATCACAAGAAAAGTAGACATTGACATCAACACCAAAAGTGAGGGAGACAAGATCATTATTTTAAGTGAAAAATCATTTTCATTCTTTAATTTTTCCTAATTATCACTATTATATAAAAAGGACAACGTTGATTTAAAATGCTCCTTGACAAATTTGATCCGATACTTTTTCATAGATTAGTAATTGTTTTTAAAGAAATGATATAACAATTACTAATCAGAAAATTTAAGTGAATGATTTAAATTTATGTTATCTTGAAATAACCATATAGAATCTCAATGAAATAGTTATCAGCGCTTCTAAGCCGCTAGTGTAGTTTGGTTGTGGGTTGCGTTACCATCCGTCCATCCTTTGTCTTTCCTCTTATTCTTTGTTTCTTTGTTTCTTTGTCTCAGTCTTCCATTCATGTTGGATTCGTTCCCTTCTAAACATAAGTTCTGTTTTGTTTGAATGTTATGGTAGTTTTGTAAGTTTATAAGGTTTTTTTATCTTTAGTTTTGTCCGTTGTGGATGATATCGGTCTTGATCCATCGTCGTTCTTGTCCTTGAGATTGGTGATTTTCAAGAAGTTAAGTCTCGTTCTATATCCTCGATTTCATGATCTGTTAGTTACTCGTCGTCGCATCAAGAAGCGTGTTCGAGTTGCTTTTAGTGGTCTTACTTGCCGGGTTATGAAGTTATTGGATTTTGGTTTCGAGAAAATAGCTCACATCGTGAAATGAAGTGGTTAATGTTATTTTTGGATTGGCCATAAATATTTTTGATAAATCTCATCCTCATGTGCTTCAAAAAAACATGGTTTTTGTTTTCTTTTGGATTTATTATTTTTCTTGGTTGAAAGTTTTTAGTTTAAGGTTTCAACCTCTTTCGAGTTTGCTATGAAAATTTATGTTTTGTATTTCTAATGTCTTGATTCTTTCTTCCATAAATCCTAAATTCCATAAAAAAAAAAACTTTTTTTCTTCGGGTTGTGACTGCAAAAACTTTTACTTCGTCTATTAATTTAAGTCTCACCTGTTTAGACATTTTATTCTACCTTGATTTCTCAACATATTGCATTAATAAAATTTCAGCTGATCTAAAAAAAAAAAAATCTAGATGAAATACCCCACCTTCAAAACTAACTCAAGAAATAATTCATATTTACTTATTTAGTGAGAAAAAAAAAGTATTTCGTTTTCTTTGATTAAAGATTTAAAGTTTTTACAGATTTTCTTTTTATAATTATGAATAAATACGGATTCCCTTTTCCCCAACAATCAAACCAAACATCAATATTTGCTTTACAAAACTTACTTCTCTCCTCTGTCCTCACCGGAAAAACAAAACAAAAGTCTTCTCTTTTTAACTCCATCGGAGAAGTGTTATGTCTCCGACGAATGTTCAATTACCCGATTACCATCTCAACCAATCAACAAACGGTACAACAAATCTCTGGTCAACCGACGACGATGCATCGGTAATGGAAGCTTTCATCGGCAGCTCCGATCATTCTTCTCTTTTTCCTCCACTTCCTCCTCCTCTTCCACCTCCGGTCAACGAAGATAATCTCCAGCAACGACTCCAAGCTTTAATCGAAGGAGCAAACGAGAGCTGGACTTACGCCGTGTTCTGGCAATCATCTCACGATTTCGCCGGAGAAGACGACGGAGTAAGAACCAACAATAACACAACCTTGTTAGGTTGGGGTGATGGTTATTACAAAGGAGAAGAAGAGAAATCTAGAAAGAAGAAATCAAATCCAGCTTCTGCAGCTGAACAAGAGCATCGTAAGAGAGTGATACGAGAACTCAACTCTTTAATCTCCGGTGGTGGTGTAGGAGGAGGGGATGAAGCAGGAGATGAAGAAGTTACTGATACTGAATGGTTCTTCTTAGTTTCAATGACACAGAGCTTTGTCAATGGTACTGGTTTACCTGGTCAAGCTTTCTCGAATTCGAACACGGTTTGGTTATCTGGGTCTAATGCTTTTGCTGGATCAAGTTGTGAGAGAGCTCGTCAAGGTCAGATTTATGGGTTACAAACAATGGTGTGTGTAGCGACTGAGAACGGTGTCGTTGAGCTTGGTTCGTCGGAGATTATACATCAAAGTTCAGATCTTGTTGATAAAGTTGACACCTTTTTCAACGGTGGTGGTGAATCTGGTTCTTGGGCGTTTAATTTGAATCCAGATCAAGGAGAGAATGATCCAGGTTTGTGGATTAGTGAACCTAATGGTGTTGAATCAGGTCTTGTAGCTGCTCCGGTGATGAATAATGGTGGTAATGACTCAACTTCTAATTCTGATTCTCAACCAATTTCGAAGCTTTGTAATGGAAGCTCTGTGGAAAACCCTAACCCTCAAGTTTTGAAATCTGGTGAAATGGTGAGTGTCAAGAATGGGATTGAGAATGGATTCTCTGGTCAAAGCCGGTTAATGGAAGAAGATAAGAGATCTCCGGTTTCGAATAATGAAGAAGGGATGCTTTCTTTTACCTCTGTTCTTCCACGGCCTGCGAAATCCGGCGACTCGAATCACTCTGATCTTGAAGCTTCTGTGGCTAAAGAAGCAGAGAGTAATAGAGTTGTGGTTGAACCGGAGAAGAAACCGAGGAAACGAGGGAGGAAACCGGCGAATGGAAGAGAAGAGCCTTTGAATCATGTAGAGGCAGAGAGACAGAGAAGAGAGAAGTTGAATCAGAGATTTTACTCTTTGAGAGCTGTGGTTCCTAATGTGTCTAAGATGGATAAAGCTTCTCTTTTAGGAGACGCGATTTCGTATATCAATGAGCTTAAGTCTAAGTTGCAAAAGGCTGAATCTGATAAAGAAGAGTTGCAGAAGCAGGTTGATGGGATGATCAAAGAGGCGGGGAATTCGAAAAGTTCGGTTAAAGATCGAAAATGTTTGAATCAAGAATCGAGTGTGTTGATAGAGATGGAGGTTGATGTGAAGATTATTGGTTGGGATGCAATGATAAGGATTCAATGCAGTAAGAGGAATCATCCTGGTGCTAAATTCATGGAAGCACTCAAGGAATTGGATTTGGAAGTGAATCACGCGAGTTTATCGGTAGTGAATGATCTTATGATCCAACAAGCGACTGTGAAAATGGGGAATCAGTTTTTCACGCAAGATCAGCTCAAGGTTGCTCTAATGGAGAAAGTTGGAGAATGTCCATAAATCGAAGTCAGCATCTTTAGGGCTAATAATCTGGAGAAATACTGCGAAAAGCCGAAAACAACGATCATAGTATAAGCCGGTAAAAGGGTTTAAATCTTTCACAAGTTTCTCTTGTGAATGGTAGTTGTAAAATCTATTTGTAAGGGTAATTTTGCAGTACCCACTTGTTGCTATTGAATGCTTGTTAGAGAGGGTTCTTAGTGTAGTATATGATTAGGTTGGGGTTTGTGGTTCCATGAGATACATATATGTGTTTGGCCAATGGGTAAGTCTTTGGTTTATTGGTGTATGTATTTTCATATGTATGTAAATAAGGCTTTAATTTGTTAGAAATAAAACAAATGGGATTGAAGTTGGAGTTTTTTTGTTGTCTTTTGAAGTTTTGAGTAAAGTTTTGAGTATTTCATCACTTTCAACTTTCAAGTGAGTTTTTGTGTTCATCATGTGGGACAGGTCACTGGGAAGTTGGCATCAAAAGAGGCATCTAATTGGTTAGGAACGAATATACCAAACTTTTTTTTCTTTTCAATAGGGATTATTTAAATCAATCACATCTATTTAGAGATTCCAATGTAGGACCTCAAAATTTATGTGGATGTTACATGATCATTATCGTTCTAAATAGTATTTTGAACTACATGATGTACATACATATAATTGAGAATTTGAGATGTGATTTTCCAACCGAATTCACAAGGATTCATATATGCAGCTCTTGTAAAATCTTCATAAAGATGTTAGAATAACCATGCGGTTTATTAATTTTATCCAATAGAACAAAATTACTAACTACTATAATACAACTATTTTGTTATCAAAACATATTTTACAAGTTCAAATGGTAACATATATAATGCCCAAAAATATTATGGCAGAAGCATAATGTTTCTCGTTAACCATATTTCAGAGTAAGTCTGTGGCATAAATCATGATGCAAAATATGCAAATGCTAAATGGATTTTCTTGATATCGACAGAAGAAGTGAAACCACTAAAATAATACCTTTTTTTAAAATGGTGAAATCAAAATGTAAAGGGAGGTTATGGATCTTGAAGAAAAAGATAAAATCATAGAGCAAAAATCGTGGAGACATGTGTGGTCGATTATTAAAGTGATTTTTCTGCGACATATATTATTGTGTTTGTTTCCAAACTTTTTAGCAATAATCTCCTCGAAAATGTGTGTGCAGTGAGTGACAGTGCGAAGAGAACGTGTGATTGAGAAGAAGAAAGCATGCCCTTTAAAATAATAGGGTACATTATTGCCAAACAAAGACAAGGGGACATTTATTATTTGTACATGTAATAGCCACCATACTTTGTTTGATAATCGTGTTTCTGGATCAAACACCATAGAAATGAATCCTATAACGGTCGTTGTAAGTTCAACAATTTGCGTGTTTATGAGAGTTAAAAAGCTTTTATGCTGCATTTGATTTATGAAGATATTAAAGAAAATTGCTGAATGTTGTGCTTTCTTGATCTAGACTAGATTAATACACTGTTTAGTGGCAAATTATTGACAGAGTTATCCTGCCATAATAATAATAATAATAATACGCATACATTCTAAATAATGGAGTATTATAAAGTTTTGAAAAGCTCTAAAGCTTTGGTTTACTAAACTTTCTTACCAATAGTCAAAATAATCTTGTTGCATGGTTGTTTGTGTCAATAATACTCCATCTGTTTCAAAATATAAGGCGTTTTAGCTAAAAACACGCCGATTAAGAAGATCTACTTTTAAAAGTTCAGCCAATCATAAAAGAGACTGCATAATAAAAATAATCATAAAATATTAAAATAATATATAATTTGCATAGAAACTTGAAAACGACTTATATTTTGAAACAAAAAAGTTTCTCCAAAATACCTTATATTTTGAAACGGAGGGAGTAGTACTTTATTTGATACTCCAAAGTGTGTATGCGGATTTGGAATTTTTTGAACTGATCAACAACCCTTCATTTTGTATATATTTTTAACTGAATAACAACAATTTTGTTATAGTTATTTTTAATTTTTTTTTTAATATATAAAATCCATCGTAATTTTTATTTTGAGATTTCTATATTAAATAAGTCCGTCTTTTGTCTTAAGTTTGTTACAAAAAAAAAAATGGAATTTCTTAAAACCTAAAACCCAAAAAACTATATATAAAAAAAAAGCCCAACAAAAGCTGCAGGAACCATTCAAAGCCTACACTATAAGTGTAATATATTCATGTCTAATGAAGTAGCATGTGACATGGGCTGTCGAAAAACAATTAGCTTATGAACAAGGCTAGTCATTATTTAAAACTATATGATTCATAATTCATTAAATCTATCGTTTAAGAGAAATCATATTATAAGTATATAGTATACACAGACTTGAATGTACAATCTCAGTTTTAGCACGAGAGTAATAGCGTCAATCAACAAGCCTAACGAATCGAGACATCTTGTATATAAACAGTTAGCAAACACAACAAAAACATCATGATGAGGGAGTACAAAAATTTTCATTGCGCCAACTTAGCTTATTCATGCAGATACGTCAATGGCGTAGCGTACAGAACTTGATACGCATTATTCATGCAAAAAGCCAACATGTGAATAAGCCAAACACCATATAACTTGAATACTCGGTATCCAAACCTCGGGTGAGAATTTCTTCTATATATATAAGTCGAAACATCATTTATCAAAATCTGAACTTTTTTTTTTTTTTTGAATTTAATGTTAAATTATATTCAAAAGAAAAATAAACGTTTTCTACAACTTAATGCGATGCAATTCGAATCATTTTTAAGACATTAAAAAGAAAACAGAGTCTTCTCTAGATCCTCGATGCAAACCAAGTTTGGAGTCCGCTTGAGGCTCCTCTCCCTTCCATTGTGCTCAACCGATTACGGACATTTTTATCAATTAACTTGACGAGTATCTCTGTTGGTAAAGGCTGTTCACCGTGTCTCCTTCTATTCCTCTCATTCCATATTGAGTGAATAGAGTTTTGAAACGTGTACCTTAGCAAGAAAGTCTTTGTCTTGTCAAAGCCCTCCCCTTTAATAAGCTTCATGATCTCTTGCCAATGTTCCGTGAACTTATCCAACAGTAGCCCCAGAACCAATTCTTTCCAAATTGTCTTCGAGTACGGGCACATGAAAAACAGATGCTCTCTTGTTTCTATAGGTACCCCACAGAACACACAACTTGAGTTTGCATTCTGCTTCCAAGTCAACATTCTCTCACCTGTTGCTACTCTGTTTTTAACCACTAGCCATGTGATAAGAGCATATTTTGGAGTTGCAGCTTTGAACCATATCTCTTTGAATCCCTCCATCATTGGTTTCGAAGTGCGGATCTGCGCCCATGTTTCTTTGGTCGAGAAACTTTTGCGATAGCTACTGTTTTTCCCTTTCCATAGGGCCACATCTACCTCATTTCCTCTCAGCTGCATTCTTGCGTTTTTAATTGCTTCTTCAACACTGTTTAGCGCTGCTTGTCGATGTTTTCTCCTTCTAGACATTGCCATCACTTCTCTCACTGTGCTAGATAGAGGGATCCCCAAGTCAATGCAGCCTCGCTCCCCTAGCTTCTCCTTAAGACATCCAAGGTCAGACCATGTGTCGTGCCAAAAAGATGTAGTGTCACCATTCTTAACTTCCACTCTATGAAATTGTTTTGCGAGATCACGATACTTCAGCAACTTTCTCCATATCCATGAGCCGCAAGAGGTGGTCTCTTTCACAGCCCAGAAAGAACCATTTCGGATTAGATACTTGTGAACCCAGTCCACCCATAAGGAGCCCCTTGCAGAAAACAAGCGCCAAATCAGTTTTAACATGCTTACTTTGTTCGCTTCCTCCAATGATCTCAAACCCAAACCACCTTCACTCTTTGGTGTGCATACCTCAGTCCACGCCACTTTTGCTCTTTTGTTATTAAGAGAAGGGCCTGACCACAAAAAAGCTGAACATATCTTGTCGATTTCTTGAATGCAAGCTTTAGGGAGTCTAAAAGCGGCAATCCAAAAATTCGTAATACTGAAGGTGACTGAGCGGAGCAGCTGCAGTCTCCCGGCGAAAGAGAGTGTCCTAGCTGTCCAGGAGCTAATTTGTGATCTTATTTTTTCCAAGAGAGGAGAATAATCTGCAGAAGTCATTCTTCTTGTTAATAGTGGTAGCCCCAAGTATCGTACTGGTAAGGATCCATACTCAAATGGGAATTGCTGCAAAATTTCTGTTTTCACTTCTGTTGAAACGCCTGCCATATACAATGTCGATTTTTCAAGGCTAATTTTGAGTCCTGAGTGAGTTGCAAAGTCCTCAAAAACCTCAAGTGCTGCTTCGATTGATTTCTTTGTTCCTTCAACAAAAACCATCAGATCATCTGCAAAACAGAGGTGAGTAAGTTTCAAGTGCTTACAGTTTGGATGATACCCAATTGTCTTGGCCCGCAGGTCAATTGGTAACAGCTTGTCCTGTGGGAAGGTTGTTAAAGGATGAGGTCTTGGGTTCGAGTAACGCCAAGCGCATCAATAACCTACTTGTGGGCCAAAAAAGGGTGCCACAAGAGAGGGGTTAGGGTCGATGCGCTGCAGCGCTGTACGGGTCCCACGGGACGGGTTGTTACATAACTTATCTCCAAAAGGATATGATCGATATCACAGAAAAAAAAATACTCCCTCTGTTTCAAATTATATGATGTTTTAGCTAAAAGCACATTGTTTAAGAAATTTAATTTAATATTTGACTTTTAAAAAATCAACCAGTTACAAAAGAGACTACATAATCTATATATAATAGCAATCTAATAAATACCATTTGCACATCTGAACGGTTGCGTTTTTTTATCGCAACTTTTCGTTAATGTTTTTACTAGATTTTAACCCGCGGTACACCGCGGGGCTATAAATTTTTTAAAAATTATCTATTGTTTTGTTTGATTTAAATATACTTATTATATATATTACCCCGCATTAAACCCACGGGTCGATTTTTGATAACTACAAATTAAAATTTTAAGTTGAAATTATTTTGTTAATATTGTTTGTTTTGTTTAGCATTTATTGTATTTTGATAGTTAATTCTACGATTTCACTCGTAGTACCGCCTCGTATTAATATTGATTCAAACCCGTCCTAACATATAACCCTGTCCCGTGAAATTAAACATTATTTTGTTATTATTTTTTAAAAATATTTTAATTTAAAAGACATATATAATTTGAGTCAATTTAAAAGTTTGCTTTAAATGGCTCCCATAATATATATATATATTTAATTGTTATAGAGTTCAAATATCATTAATATTATAAACTTTTTATAAAATTTAAATATTATAAATACTTTAAACGTTTTATCATCTTAAAATATTTACAATGTTTAAACTTCTTATAAATTCTTATAAAGTTAAAATATTTATAATATTTGAAACTTCATAAAAGTTTTAATATCGACCCAAACTTCATAATTTTATTTTGGTTGTTAATTCTAAGATTTCACTCGTAGTATATCGTTCCGTATTAATATCGACACAAACCCATCATACCATATAATCCCGTCCCGTGAAATTAAACATCATGTTATTTTTCTTTTAATAATAATTTTATTTAGAAGACATATAATTCGAGTAAATTTAAAAGTTTGCTTTTAAATTGTCTCTATAGTATATATATTTATAAAATGAGTTTGTAAAATAACGAATAGTAACCATAATTTAATAAATGTACATTAAAATAAATATATTTAAAAAATTAATTACTTAAAAAAATTGATTTTGTCAAAATTAATTAATATCTTTAAGATATTATGGAAAGGATTAGTTATGGTTAAGATATTATGTTAGGATTTTTTTGGTAATTAATATTTTTGATTTAAACTTTCCAAATTAAATAATTAATGCCAATGGCATTCTTTGTAAATACTTAGCAACTCTAGGATTTATTTGCTAAGTGTACTCCAAAAATGTATATATAGATTAATTAAATATATATATTTTACGGTTATGTTTTTTTTTTTATAAATTGCATTCTGAATGTTTTCTACGGTTGCGTTTTTTATTGTAACTCTTCATAAACAGTTGAAACCGCTTATTCGAATCATTGCAATATTTAGTTTATTTTACGAACAATTGCAACCTTTGGTTTATATATTTAGTTTATTTCACGAACAATTGTAATTTTTGGTTTATTTTATAAATAGCTATAACATTTAATTATCTACCGCCGCGTCTCTCGGTGTAACTTTTCATAAATTATTATTTTAATTCTTAATTTTTAATTACTAAAATGTATTTAAATGAGATTGTAACTATTTAATTGAACTGTTTCAACATTTGGATTATTTGACGAATTATTGCAACTTTTGGTTTTGTGTTACGAACCATTGTTATCTTTAGTATATTTGATAAACTATTGCAACATTTGGTATAATTGACGAACCGTTGCAGTTTTTGGAATATTTGATATCTACGGTTGCGTTTCTCGGATAAGTTCGTCATATTTTTCAAAAAAAATTAAATACTAAAATATATTTAAATGAATTGTTGTTACCGTTTAATTTAACACAATAGCATTTGGTTTATTTGACGTTGAACGTTTTGACTTATTTATCAAACCATTGTAATATTTGGTTTATTAGTTTATGCTTTTTGCACTTGGGAATAGTTTTTTAGTTACAAATTATTGTTTTTCTAATATTAATATACTTAATAAATGCTTGTGAGGGTTTTCTTTATAATAATTTTTGTAAAATATATATTGATTTGCTATTAAAAAAATTCAAAATTATTACAATTCATTATGATTTTTTCGTTTGATATTTTTTTAAATGATTTTTGAAATATATTCCCCCGCGACATCGCGGGAGTCCTGAGTCCTAGTCTATATAATAAAAAATATTAAATACATTTAAAATTTGCATTGAAACTTGTAAAACATCTTATATAATGAAACACAATAAAAACTCCAAAACATCCTATATATAATGAAAAAGAGAGAGTACTTTTTAACACAAAACCTAAGGACATTACGTAACATCTAATGTGTTTGCCTTATTCAGTTATTCTTTTAACTTTTTTCGGACCAACCCTGATTGAGCGTCAAAAGCTTTTAGAAATATACTTCTCTGAGACTTTTATAAAAGAAATTTTAGCCATAACCACCTAGTACTCCTTAGCAGTTTCAAAATCTATACACAAACATATCGTAAGGAATCACTATCCATCTACTAGACTGGTCTCTCATTCTTCGCTTTTGTCGTTGCTATAATCTTTGTTTTTTAATTTTATCTTTCTTTTCTCAATGGATCTTTCTGATATTTTCTAGAGTTTTCCGATGAAGATGACTTTGAAGACTCGAGCAAGTTTCCTCACTTGGTTTGTTGTCTTTGCCAAGAGAGAGTGGCCGAGATTGATTCTTCCGTGCATACAACATTTATTGAATCGTTCATTCATTAGATGAGTAAAATACTTGTTATTCATTTTCTTAAATCACCACCAAATTTTGATTACCCCAATATTTGCTATTCTACATATAGTATTTGGTATCTGGCAAATTGTCTCTAGAGAAAAGTCCAATTCGATATACCTACTTTGCTAATGAATAATTAGTATCAGATAATAGAATAAACCATTAGACTTCCCATAAAATTATTATTTCAACGCGATATATAATATTTTTGAGATTTAGATCTCGTTGTCGTAACTAAAGAAATGAAAGAAAGATTTGACGTTAACGATGATAATGATTAAAGTATGTGAGGATGCTCAAAATATCGATCTTCTAATTGGCTCAACCATCCATCATCAACTTCAAGACTTTAAGTACATGCAATTTTATTTTTCTTTATAGTATACTAGTATTCCTCCTCATTTTCCACTTTATGCGCAAATAAAATAATTTTTAATCTAACCTTTATGTTCGGCGTTTAATAACCAAGTTGGCAACTTGCAATATTTAACCAAGCTGGCACAACTTGCACCAACATCATCATCACCTTTGCCTTAATTAGAAGATCTTCATTTTTCAAGTTTGCAAATAGGAAAATTGTTATTTTTTTACAAAAATTACAAAATAAGTGGCCTTTCGCTATTGTCTCGATCCAGCAAAAATTCGATAATAAAATATATAAATTGTAACAGTATCATATAATGGATCGCCCACATCAAATTTTATAACAATATATTCAAGTGGGGCACTAGCCTGACTATAGTGCACGAATCTGAATGAAAACGGCACACACTTTTAAAATCTTCTTCTTTTAAACACTTCCACTTATGGGTTTTTTCGTCTTTTCTATCTATTCCTTCATAATTTGTTTTATCTTTTTACAACTCTTTTTTTAGAAAAACTTTGTTCACAATTTAATAAAACCAACTAAGAATCCCATTAGTGTTAAAATAAAAAAAATAAAAAATAAATCCCACGAAAAAATTGTAGATTGGTTTGTTCATGGTAGAAAAACAAAAGTTTTGTTCATGGACATTATGCAAAAGTAATCGATATAAAAAAAAGCGAAATCTATGAAAAGTAAATACAATTTCATACGGATCACACTCACTAAATCTACCATACTTAAAGCAATAACAGCAAAAAACACGTGAAAATAATCTTATCCCCATACTTTTTTAACAAAAGAAAAGAAAAGTTAAACCTTTCACGATAATTTAATTTCTTAAATAAAATCAATTTTTTTTGTCAAACATTTTTATAAAATCTTTAACTTTTTATAGTAAGGTTTTTTTAACTTTTTATGAGAGTTTGTTGCATAGCCGAAATTTTTGACTTACTCGCGGAATATACCTAACCAAAATGGAAAGATTCATAGTTATCCACAAACATTAAATGCCCAAAATAACCTTGCACGTAAGGACATTTATGTCATTCTCAACATAAGAAAATGGTAAATATAACTATATGAGGTTAAAAAAAAAAACAGACAAAAGAAGAGAATCTTATATGAAGCAACATAAATAACATTTCTGAATTTTTTTTAAAAAGAAAATAAATCATTTTATAAATTTTTTCGTCGTTTTTTGTTTTCACGTCACCTGAGAACCACTTCCGTCACCGGAGTTACGAGCCATAGCTTCCGCAACCGTCGCGAGTTTCTGCAAATTAAGCTTCACAACCGTATCAGCAAACATACGTGTATCATCCTCCGAGTTACCTTCCGGCATATCAACAACATACGATTCCAAAACCACCGTCCAGATCCGACTCTCTTTCTCGAATCTATGCACCGTCGTGACAGATTTGTAATTCGTCAGCCTATGTTCGCCTCCGATGATACTGAATCCGGTAACTCTCCGTTCGTCGTCGAGTATATCGAGTCTTTCCGTTGATGTGTTGGCCGGTAATCCACTGATGACGATCACGTCGCGCGTGCATCCGACGCGCATCTGGAAGTTTTGTTCGACGGAGCAGGATTTGATGAAGTGTTTGTATGTTTGTGGTTTGTCGAATCGTCTGACGATTGACCAGACGAGTTCCGGCGGCGCGTGGATTCGTTGCGCGTGGAGTGATGAACAGCTTCCTGGTCCGAGTTGGTATGTGTGGAACTCGCCGATTGATTGTTTTAGTTCCGATCGTTCCTCTGGTGTTAACTCTGAAGGCATGGTGGTGGTGAAGATTTGGATTTTTTTTTTCTTTTCTTTTTCTCTTTTTGTTTGTTTTATTATCCAATTGGTTTGAGATTCACCATTGAAGACGACGACGAGCTTAAGACTCTCTCTCTTTTTATTTATCGTTGAAATCTCAGAGTGTGAGAGACAGAGAGGGATTGGATTTTAGAGGGAAGATGAAGGGTAAAATTGGAATTATATAAAATTAGTAAGGGTAAAGTAAGAAATATACGTGAGAGTGCAAAAAATGGAATCTATTGATTTTTAAAAGAAAGTTGACGTGGAGTTTCTGTTATAAATATTGGTTACTTATTCGGATTTGGAAAAAACGGAATTACTATAAGTTTCTATTTATTTGATTTTTTTTTACAATAGTGTGATGATTTTATTTGATTTGTTCATGTATTTGGTGGAAATAAAATGAAATCCTTGAGATGAAAATTGTTTGTAATTTTTTGTTTGGTCAGTTGAAATTATCGAAACAATCCATATTTATAAGTTTTAACTAATGTTTTTTAAGTCGTTGAAAAACAATAGTCATTTTTTCATTATTTTTTTTAGATATCATTTTGGTCGGGTATTATATTTAGTGATAAATTTAATGAATCTTTGACAAATCTACAATTTGTAACGAGAAAATAAAAAGGATTTTTATAACTAAAAAAAATAACTGCAAAGGAGTTGCAATTATTTAAAACAATAATATTTTAAGAGGAAATCTTACAATGATGAGATAAAGATCAACTTTTTTGGACTTGAGTTCACTTAAGAAATACTGTTATTGAGAAAAATTTGGGAAAGAAAGTCTAGGAGTGAGCGTTCGGGTTCAGATCGGATATTTAGGGTTTTTAGGTTTAAAGATATAGGATTTGTTCGGGTATTTATAAATTTCGGATTCGGGTCAGATATTTCGGGTTTGGATTCAGATTACCCGAATTTCTCAAAAATCAAAATTTTTATAATCAAATATATCCAAATTATTCAAAAATACATAAAATATCTAAAAACTTTGAGTATTTTTTACCCAAATTTACTCAAAATAGATTAAATACCCTAAAATATTAGATACATAGGTTATTAGTGATTAACTGAAAATACTAAAAACGGAAAAAAAAGTTTGGTTTTAATTTACTTTTTTGTGTTCTAAAGTTTTGTGTTAATACCAAATCATTATTATTAAATTATTATGATTGAGTGGAATGTATAAAAATCACTCAATATCCACTTTTTAGCTCTTCTCCCCCTTTGAGAAAAGATTTTTGATACGATGATTTGTGTGTCTGTGAAATCTTATTCTGTAATATAGTTACACTTGCATGCACACTTACAATTACCATAGGCTTCAATTTTAATAGTTTTTTTTTTTAAAGAGCACTGGCTTCTCTTTGGTTGGTGTTATTCTCGGCTCTATGTCTCCAATGTCTCCATGAAATTATTGAATCAATTTGGGTACGATCAAAACTGAGTATGATTAAATATAGCACTTTCTATGATATAAAAATGTTGAACTTATGTTTTGTAGTCTAAATCCCCTAGTTTTAATGCAATATAACCCGTCTTAGTTACTGTCAAATTGAAATTTTTCCGACAAGGAGTCTAATCTATTTTTAGAATTATAAAAAACGATCGTGAAAACGTTTAGAAAATATGTATAAGATTTATATTGCGTATTATTTTGAACATCATACGTCGTAGAATTTATTTATATTTTTACAGATAAAGGATAAAATTGCAAAAATTGGCGAGTTAGCAGATTTTATTTAAAAAATCCAATAATTTAAGTGTTTTTTGCAAATAATTATAAACTATAGAAGCTAATTACCTCTATCATAGGAAAACACAAACAAATTAGGAACAAAATCAGCAGGTTTTGACTTTCGGTTGGCAATCACGTCTCTTTTGGAATAATTACTGTAAAATAAGTCAGTACGTTACGTTGACTTAAGACCAGAAAACATTAAGAGTTCGAATTTATCTAAAAAATTTCAAGGTTATATACATACTACAAGATGTTGTCTTGGAAAGCAGATTAGGATCAAAACAATAATCTATGGCTTCGTACTGGTTATTATATCTCTTCATCTATCTTTTTTCTTGTCATATTCCTCAAACAGTTCAGGTAGCAACAAAAAAAAACTCGATAGTCAATTAATACATTATTTGTTTGTAATTTGACTCGTATATCTAATGTTTATCGCAGGAAGAAATAGAATACGAATGTGTAGATATCTATAAGCAACCTGCATTTCAACATCCATTGATGAACGATCACCAAATCCAGGTATGTACATCAGTACATGATCATTAGAAAGTTGAATTTATATATGCACAATTTTATGTTCCCATAACCATGGAGATATTTCATATCAAAATTATTTCTCAAGTGCTTGTTTGTCTCTATCCTAGATGAGACCAAGTGTCGAGTTTCAAGCCATGGTATCGACGGAGCCGGAAACATCAGATTTGTTCACTGGTAAATCTGAAGAAAGGTGTCCTAAAGGACAAGTACCAATTCACATACCGCAAATTAACTATAGTACTAATAACTTTAGCCAGCCGAAGAAAATAATTGCAGAAGCCAATCTACATGTAAGTATTTTAACCACGATATTAAACTAAAGTATTTTATCAAAATATTTATTTTTGCGACCTTTTTATAAAATTTAATAACATGGTAAATTATTTTTGGTTAGTATGCAATTATTAGACCATTTGAGAATTACACAAAGAGATGGGATGGAGCGCAAGCGGTTTTCAATATTTACAAGCCACGAGTATTGAAAAACCAATTTAGTAAAGCTTGGATTTGGCTAAATCATAGAGAAAAGGATGTAATAAGCAGCATCCAATTTGGTTGGGCTGTAAGTATACTACAAAATCTAGTTGTCCATAAAAATCATCATATGTCGAGTTATAAACTTATCGCACAATTGATCTTCTTTTAGGTGCATACAGGATTGTACCGAGATGATCGTCCAAGGTTAACAACATACTGGATAGTAAGTGATTTTTGCTTTATACTTGAATTCAAATGTCAAGCTTAATCACTTCAAATTTCTTTGGTTTTGATGTGTTAGTAATCAAATGTATTAACTATACATTACAGTCAGGTAGACACCCAAACGGATGCTACAACGCGTTATGTCGAGGAGGCTATGTCCAAGTCCATAAAACAATCTACCCCGGTATGGTTTACAATAAAGTTAGTACTTTAGGCAAAAGACAGTCCACTGCTCATCTTCTCGTCGGTCAGGTAAGAAAAAATAAAGTAACAAAATTATATTTTAATATTTAGCAAATTATATATTTAAACTGTATGTACCAATCATACAGGATTCCAGAACAAAAAATTGGTTATTGATGACGAGATCAACCTTGATAGGCTATTGGCCTTATCAAATTTATTCGATGCAAGGAGCATCACAAGTTTTATTCGGCGGGTATACAGGGGGGCTAGCTGGAGCTACCAGCCCTCCTATGGGGGCAGGGACTTTTCCGAAAGAAGTAGGATATCGAAACAAGTTTTCATGTTTCATGAAACAACTTAAGTGTTTTGAGGACAAAAGACTAGTAGATATTGACTCGAATGAGTTTGAGGAATATGTGGATAGTCCAAAGTGTTATGATGTATGGTTTCGTAAGTTTGAAATAGGCAAGGGAGAGATGCTCACCTTCGGTGGACCTGGTGGAGAGTGTGGTATCTAATCAGTGGTTTCACTGTTGTAGTGTTGTTGTTCTTTTTCTTTTTTTTCTTTTTTCTTCTATTGTTGTTTATCTTGTTATTGTTGATTCACAACAATAGTGCTAATAATTTTGTAGGTACGATGTTTATGTCAATTTTCAACTCAAATTTAATAAGAGAAAATTATTATTCTTATATATTTTATAAAATTTATAAATGTGAACTAATTAAATTAATTTCTTAAATAAAATTTTATTTTTTTCTTATAAAATTATAAGTAATTTTGATTGCATAATTTTAACAAGATCTAACTACAAACAGCAATGGGAAAGGTGTCTATAAATAATTTAGACTCAAACGAGATTAAAGATTGAGGCTTTGAATGGTTAGTCCATAAGATGCGGACTAGACAATGCATACCAATATTTTTAGTATGCAAAATGTTGGATTGTAGTATGGAGCAGACAATTGTATGTTGTTACAGCGTTTATGTTGGTATGGAGATTTTGGGGAATGGAATGAAAAAATGTGGACCAACAATGAATTTATGATGATATGGAGAAGTATGCTGAAGTGCATAATAGTATGGAGATTTTTAGTATGCAACAATGCATACTAGTTCAGAATAGTGAATGGTGAATTAAGTGCAGATTCATCCGATTTTAGTCCGGTCTGCAGCATACTATACAACCATTCAAAGCCTGAGTGTTGTCAGAAAAGCCTCACCTTCGGTGAATAGTGCTAACAATTTTGTATTTATGAGGTATATAATTAAAAGACAAAAAAAGAACATTTGGAATAAAAATATATCCATTAAAGTTTTTATCTATATTGTTAGAAAATATATATCAGACAGAAAAAGAAAACCATACAAAATCATTTTATAAGAAAACATCAATATTTTCTGGATAAAAAAAAGTTAGGAATTTTAATCTTCAACGAATAAGAAACACACATATTTTATTACAAGAAATAACATATTTTTAAGAAACTAACAATTAAAAATAACTCTTTGTTTTTATATAATGCTTTCTTTTATTAGAAATTACAAAATAATTTTTTTCTTTCCAAGTTATTTCAAAAAGGAAGTTTTGTATCCATTCGAGGTTCCTTTGCACACTGAGTTTGGAAGTTACTTGAAGAACCTGCCTCAAGAGATGAAACATGACCCAAGGACGTGTTCACGTTGGGATGCACATTC